TCAATCCAGAAATTAAGCATCCATAGTCCTTTCGCATCCCAAGCAAAATTCTTCTCGTCACATCCAAACCACCTAAGCATAGTCCTCAGTCGCATAACACTCATCATATAGCTATCGATCCACTCATTGAGCCATCAATCCCACTCCTAAGGACACTACTGGGCATATAAGTCCAAAGCACATACTCGTACAACTGAAATCACCGAGCCCAATCTACGGTCTAAAACTGGCCTCAAGACCACCAAACTGGCCTATCTCCACAACACAGAGAACACATCTCGCATCTCATCCATGACATCACAAGTCATCGATACATGGCCGATACCGAGTGCTCAACACAACATATGAGTGGATGGAAGGAAATCAAAGTATACGCTTCATGTCGAATCAAAGCCGCACGATAAGAAAGAAATATGTGAAGTTTCCTAGATAACTTGTAGCCTCTCGAAGATAGGTATGGACGTAACATATCGATCCGCAGGAGTCTACTTGACACTTGCTCATGACCGGTAGAACCTATGAACCTAGAGCTCGCATACCAACTTGTCACGATCCAAAATCCACCTAGTCGTGATGGAACCTAACCGAACCGGCTAGATAAGCCAAACAACAGTCAACACAACTCTAATAAAATAATAAGAAATCAATAAGTAAAATAACTGAATTTCCATGCAATAACCCAATGATTAGTAGTACAAGTCACGAGCCACTAAGATTTAGATTTACAAAGCTGGTATGAAATAAATTCAACATATGTACGCAATATACATAAACAGAGTATGAATCCAAAACTACCAAGAATAAGTGGTAGCTATATTCGGAAAATCAGGTACATCTTCAATGCCAGCTCTCGTCATCCACAACATCTCAGCTCCATGATCTGCACGCAAGGTGCAGAAGTGTAGAATGAGTACAATCGATCATATGTACTCAGCAAGTATCATAACTAACCTTGACGAGGTAATAGTGGAATGAATTATAAATGATACTCACTAATAAACTATTTAATTCATATATCTCACAAGTACACAACAAAAATGTTATCGGGCCATAAATCATAGATAAAGCCTCATCGGTGCCCAAAGATAATGTAACATGTTATTTTTATGTAAACAATCCAACATTTAGAAAAGATATGCATGATTAAACAAGTCAAGTCGCATAGATACACATATAGAGAAGATATGTACCGTGTCTCATCTCATCAAGTAAGGTGGCATATAAAGAAGATATGCATAAATGCATGTATACATTCTGGAGTAGCAAATAGAGATGAGATGCAGCAAAAATCATGTATACACCCAAGTTAATTGCAAGTTGAGAAGAAATGCGATAACAAAAACAAAGACTAGCCAATTTCCCTCAGAAATACAATAATCGACCCAAACAATTGATCAGCTTTTTCCAAAGCCTACATTAATCAGAAAACCGTCGGTTTCTTACAATATGCGTGTACACCATCAAGAGAGAAACATGAGAGGGTGACCTTAGGGGGTAGATCCATATCCAATGAAAGTTCCAGGATCGTGTAAAATAATAGTAGTACCAAAGACATCACCTTCTATCAAAAATGGAAAATTAGCTATGGAGACACGCTGCACGAATAACTCACGTGTTGCACGGATAACTCACATGCCAATAATATCAATATCTCAAAAATGCACAGCGTTGTCACGTGCTAACAATCACAATCCACACAACGTGGTCATGTGCTAACAATCACAATCTGCAAGCGTGGTCACGTGCTAACAATCACAATCTGCACGGTATGGTCACATGTAAACAATCACAATACGGCGTGGTCACGTGCTAACAGTCACAATTTGCAGGGCATGGTCACGTGCTAACAGTCACAATCTGCACGACGTGGTCATGTGCTAACAATCACAATCTGTACATGTGGTCACATGCTGACAGTCACAATTAGCACAGCGGAGTTACGTGCTACCAGTCCAATCCATATTACACAGAAAGCGGATATACAAGTTTACATGTACATGATCAACGACTATCAAATTTCATGCTCTCGGACTGGTATAAGTTAGATGCTAAAGTGTATGCATGTACAAAGTGTGCTATCATAGCTTAATCAGGCAATTACGTCACAAAAATAGCAATTATTGAGTTCAATCAGGAGATTAACCTCAATAAAACTCAAACATGGTTCAAATAGCTCACAAATATAAGAACTATTACAGTATGAAGCTTAGAAATCAATTCCAGGCATATCGTAACCTAAGCATTACCCCAAGCATTAATAACACCTTGGTGCACACACATGGGCTCAACTATTCACATGAGCGCCACCTATAGCACGTAGCTATCACAAATAACACCATCTCGCACGAATCGACCTCCAAACAGCTCGAATCCAGCCAAAAGCTCTCTAAAATATCAAATAATACCATTGGAACCAAACTCAAACGATAAAGGTCAATTCTTTAATCAAATACTCAAAGTCAACAAAAAAAAGTCAGCACGGACCCCCACCTCGAAACCCGATAAAACTCATAAATTCTGAAAACCTCATTCAAATATGGGTCCAACCATACTAGTTTCATCCAAATCCGACTCTGAAACAATATTCAAAACCCATTTATTCACCTTAGAAAAGTTTTGAGAAAAATTGCCAATTTCTCTTTTCGATTTATCAATCAAATGCCAAAATCAAAGGTGGAATCATGAATAATAATCAAAACCGAGTCAAGAACACATACCCCAATCCAAGTAGTATAAATTTTCTCAAAACATGCCCAAATCCGAGCTCCCAATCTCAAAATATGATAAAATAAACTCAAATTTCAAAAATATAAACTTATACTCGCGATCGCGAGACCCACTTCGCAATCACGATGAACAAAATGAACACTGCTAGAAATACCCTACACGTTCGCATCCCTAATCTCGCGAATGTGGTGACCCCAAATACCAGACCTCTACGAACGCGTCCCTTCCAATGAGAACGCAAAGAAAACATCCCCCATCCCCCACGATAAACCGCGACTGCGAACTATCTCTGCGAACGCGATTGTCAAACCACTTAATCTCCGCGAATGCGATCCTCCAATCGCGAACACGAAGAGGAACAACACTCAACTCCAACTTACTCATTATGCTCGGTTCTTCCTCTTGCGACCACGTAGAAGGAAAACATAACTAGAAGATCAGAGAAAAACTAGCAATGAAACCATGAGAGAAAATAGTCTGAGACCACCCGGAAACTTACCCCAGCCCCTCGGGACCCCGTCCGAACATACTAACAAGCCCCAAAATATAATACATACCTACTCGAGGCCTCAAATCACATATAACAACATCAAACCACGAATTGCACCTCAAATAAAGCTTAATGAACTATTTCAAATTTTCAAATTCCAAACATAATTCGAACACGTATAAACAACTCGGAATCGCTTCAAATTTTTCACACACAAGTTCCAAATGACATAACGAATCTATCCAAACTCCAAAAATAACAATCTAAACCCGACAACATCGAAGTCAGCTCTGGTCTAACCTATGAACTTTCCAAACCTTCAAATTACCGACTTTCACCAATTAGAGCCAAAACCTTCTAGGAACATCCAAATACAAATCCGGACATATGGTCAAGTCAAAAATTACCATCCGAAACTAACGGAACCATCAAAACTTTAATCCAAGGTAAATTATACAAAAGTCCAACTTGGTCAACTCTTTCAACTTAATGTTTCTAAAATGAGAATCGTTTTTCCAAATCAATCACGGACCACTCGAAAACCAAAATCGACCATACACGCAAGTCATAATACATCATATGAAGCTACTCAAAATCTCAAAATACCGAAAGAAATGTTGATGCTCAAAACAACTAGTCAAATCGATGCAAAAAAAACGAACAACATTTCGCTAAGGACCTTCATGCCCTTATTCTTTTTTATGTTGTTACTTACTTCCTTTTTAAATTTTTATTTGTTTATTTAACAAAGACTCCTAGACCTTATTACATTAGGTGTAAAATCCGATGCGTGTAAGTTATTGCCATCAAAAGCTTACCTAATAAATGACTTGATTGTGTTAAACATTTTTCGAATTAAAAAGGTATTACTAGTTGTGATCTTCTGAATAAGTTTTTGATGTTTCTTTAAATGTTTATATAAATAAATTTTAACTGCCAAGTGATTGCTGTGTAATATGTTTGAATATTCTATTGGTTCCAAGTGATTGCTGAACAAGTGGATGTTACCACCATACATTCAGCCCTGTACTTTGTTAGATAATTGTGGACATTTTGTTTAGTGCCAATATATTGCTTAACGTGCACATGATATTTTCCTTTGCTTGGTATTGTTATTATATTTATTCACCTTACTTGCTTTTGCTAATCCTTAGCTTTTTCTCCAACACCTTGGTGCAACACTAGATCCTATCAATCAATTACAACAGTAATTTTCAATTTTTTCCCCTCAAGTTATTTAATAAAATTATCTAGTAACAGTAAACTGTGTCTACCAATGATTAGCCTAAGTGATATCCAAAATTAAGAGAATTGGATAGACGGTCTAAGATAAAAATGCGAGGAGAATGTTAGGATTTTGATAGAGTAATAGCCCTTAATTTTATAGGATTAGCATTACCGTCTGTCTATTCGTATAATTTTACAAGTCGTCGGATCTGGTACCGTTTGCAGCAATCCAACCATGTCAAACTACTCTATATATTTTACAATTATATAAAGATCTTTCAAGTTAATATGATAAATAAAAGAAAAAGTATTTAACTTGATTTCCGTAGGCTGCTGCTAATAAAACTAGTGTATCTATTAGGTGTTGATTTTATAAATAAACATTTATGTCTATGCAAAAAATATCTCAACAATCATAGAAAATATTAGGGATAATATAGTAAGATTAAGTCATGGCCTACTGAGTTTTCAAGTCAGCAATTACAATCTATCTCTTTATCAAAGCAGCAAATTACCAACTTCTTTGGACGGTCCAACAGTTTTTTTATATTCATTCTTCATGGAAAAGATTTTATTGACCTGTTCAGGTTTGTGACAAAATCCTAAGAATGACAGAATGTTTGCTACTTCTGTGCTCTTGAGGTCTCCTACATCATCAATTACAAGGATAATCCGTGGTTGCGTGTGATCCATTGTTGCAGCTTTTACACCTTCAGCTTAACAACCATCAAACAGTCAATCCAGATGGAGTAACCACTTCCGGGGACATTAAATTAACAAACTCATGCCAAATACAACATAAGTTTAAAATGCGTCGGAAATAGCACCCTACGGTGTGGCCTAGCGGTTGAAAACCACGGAAACCAAAGTTCAAATTCCAGCAAAGACAAAAAAGCTAGATGATTTGTGCTGGTCAGAGGGGGCAGGTAATAATCCTTAAGTAGCTCCTCGTGAATCAGGACATACCAACATCAGATTAGTCGGCCTTGTACCCCTTTCAAGACTTCACCAGATCACCTTCTATAAGGCTTTAGGTGATAATTTTCAAACTCTGAACCAAAAGTTATTGATTCCTCATCAAGCCTTTTCTTTAACCTTCTCCACGTTCTCAACATATTGGATTGTATTAAGCCTCTATAAAGTGTCTCAAAGGTTACCTTATGTGGCAGATATCCTTTTTCTATCATTTCCATAAAGAATTCGCAGGCCGTTTTCCATTTTTGTTTCTCGCAAAATCCATGAACCAACAATGTGTATGAGTCCAAATCAGGCCCTGCTCCAGAAGCCTTCATATCTTCCCAAATATCTCTGGCCAACCCTATTCGACCCAATTTCAATAACATCCCCAACAATATATTATACGTACTCACGTTAGGTGGACAGAGGGAACCCTGCCTCATTTTCTCGTATAACCTCAATGCACCATCGACATCCTTTCTCCCTTTGTACTCTTTAAAGAAGCAATTGTAAGTTGCGGATGTGGGAGTCACCCCATTAGAAACCATTAGCTCGAGTAAAAGCTCAGCATCTTCAATCCTACCACAAGAGCAGAGGCACTTGATGACTGAGCTATATGTCACAATATTGGGGCATATCCCTTTGCGTCTCATAATCCTTAATTTATCAAGCAATAACTCCGGCTTATGAGCCCGGCTATAGACATGAAGGAGTACAGAATAGCTGGTCACATCCGGTTCCACACCTCGTTCAGTCATATCATCAAACAGCTTCTCTGCTTCCCTAATTACCTTCTCAAACCTTCCCTCAGGATGCAAACTTGCTCTCCTGCAAATCCCATTCAACAACACATTGTAACTCACCACGTTCGGATCAATTCCCTTCTCCAACATCTCCCCTAGAAACCTCCTAGCCATGTCTATATTCTTCACCTTACACCAACCATATATTAGAATGGTATAAATCTTACAATTGAGCTCCAATCTCCACTTCTCCTTATTGAACACTTCAGTAGCCACTTTAACATATCCATATTTACAAAGGGTATCAAGAAGATAACAAAAATACGACTTCCACACTTGCTCTTCACTTTCTTCATCCATAAATATATGCATTTCACTGAATGCCCGAATGGCTTGACGGGTCAAACCAGCAGAAATAAGCCTACGGATCAACAAATAGAAAGTAGTAAAGTTGGGTTTAATGCACTTCTGGTCCATTTGGATAATAAGCTGCCACGCAACATCGAACTGGTGGACTTTGCATAGAATGTCGATGAGGAGATTAAAAGTGGTGGAGTCGAGGGAGTAACTGGGATGGAACTGGGAATACTGGAAGAAGGAGAGGGCAATTTTGGAAGAGTGTTTTAGGCGGAGGAGGGTTTGATGGACAAGGAAAGGGGTGAGAGAAATGCCGTGGAGCTGAAGAGAGGATTCCATGGCGTGAAATGGGTTGTGGTGTTGGAGGAGCACTTGGGAAATCAAGTCGGCGTCGTTTGAGGGTTCCAATTGCGGCAGTGAGGGCCTTGGATCGACTGGCTGGAGGTGCTGGAGTTCTGAAGAACACAAGAAGCGGAGGAAATGGAGAGAAGTGACGAGGGTTTTGGTTTTGGGGAAGAAGAGACAACGGGAACCCAATCGAACGAGCATTTCGAACAGGAAGATAGCATAAACCTTGAAATGGACCACTCGCACAGAGTCCTCTTCACGGTTAAAACGGCCAGTTAAAATACATGGTTCTAATTTATGCTCCCCATATACACCTCTCTTTTTTCTTTTCTTTTCTTTTTGCAGAATTAACTCAAATAGCCAGTCCTATTCTTTTCTCTTAAGTTCCTTTTGGAACATCTCATGTTGAGACGTCTGCACCTCTTTCTATTTTGAGACGACCACAGGTTCCACCAATCCTGCTCTATCCAGTTTGAGGCCGCATACCCATTCACTTAAATTAAAAATAGCCGGTGAAAGTATAATATATATACATAATTTATATATTATATGTGTATAATTTTGTATGATCAATGTATAACCTATATATAATCTATGTATATGGCTAGAAAAAAGTAAATAATGAATATGATCGGCTATTTGCGTAAAGATTCTTCTTTTTTTCCTTCCCTAGTATTAGTATTGGGTAGTCCACTAATCAGATCCAACCCCGATAATTGTGTGCGGTAAAATTAGTTAGTGACAGTTGGACAAATAAGAAAGTGACACTTGTAACTGAAGATTACACTCTAATGTACTGCACTTTAATTGAGTTTGAGCTTTAATCGCTAGTGTTTTGCACTAATTGTGTATTTTACGCCTTGTAAGAGTGATTCCGAGCTATGTAGATATTATAGAATGAATTGAAGTGATTTGGAGCTTTGAAGTCTGAGTAAAAGACCAAGGAATCAAGCCGGGATCGTGTTCGGGGATCAACGGATGATAGTCAAGAACGAAACGAAAAATCGAGCGGGCGTACGGCGCATTATCTAGTAAAATGCATATAACTTTTCGCTCAGAACTCCGTTTGGGCTCCATAATGTATCGTTGGAAAGATATTTGAAAGGGCTACAACTTCTATGTTTTGCATCGGCGCATGGTGCTGCGCGGCGCGCCTGTGGAAAATTCCTGCAGCATGTCAAAATCAGCTTTTGAACTTCCCCACAAGCACACTGCGTGGCGCGCCTATGCAAATTTTACAGAGGTAGAGTCTTATTTCGCACAGGAAAAGGTGTTTCGTCTGTGCCCGAACCTACTTGGTATAAATACATGTAAAAACACTATTTTGAGAAGAGAGGGACATACTTTTGACACACATTAGACCTAGGGAGAGTACGGAGCCGCCGTGGAGGCCAGGGATTCGACCTAAGGAGGCAAGAACACACTAGGAGCAAGGCGGAGAATTCTTCTACGAGTTTTTCACTTCCTTCTTCCTATTTCCATTATTGGATATGAATTCTAGTATTGTAGTTTTGCATACTATTATGAATAACTAATTTGTTATCTAGGGTTTTGATGGAACCTATTGGAGGATGATTTTCCTGTTACCTTAAGAGCGATTTGCCGTAGTATTTTCTTTATTTGTTCAACTACGTTATTATTGTGGTTGGTTGAAAAGCTCTCAATCGACTGTGCCTATTTAGTGTGTATTACTCAAGAGAAAGTGCATTTTTAGGTAATTGTTGAACAACATTACTCCTAACGTATATAAGGGATCAATACGAAGGGTTTAAAGGTGGGATTAGGGATAACGAAACCTTGGTGCGATCCGAGTGATCCGTACTTAATGCCAGCTAGCGTAATTTGGGAGAATATGTCTAGTAAATTGTGGTAGTTACTCGGGAGAGAGTTACAACAGTCAGAGCGCTCATGATCGGTATAGAATACTTAGGCGAATTTATAGAAAACGTAGCGGGAAGGATTCCGACAATAGGGGAAATCATAACTCTAGATCTCCTTAATTTTGTCTCTAACCGTTAGTATCTTTAGTTGTTAATTTACTATTTTAATTTGTTAGTTAATTAGTTAAACACAAGAATCTTAATATCTATAAGTTAGGAATTGTTCAAGCTTGTCTTCTTGGTGATATTGAACAGCTATAGCTAAGCCTTAGTTCTCTATGGGATTCGACTCCGGACTTGTAAACCGGATTATATTTACAACGACCGCTTAGTCCTTTTTATAAGGCATAGTTGGGCATGATGAAATTTTGGCGCTGTTGCCGAGGAACTAACGGTGTAGCTGTAGGTCTACATAATTCTAGGTTGCAAGTTTGAACTTTTATTTTTGTTTTCTTGTATTTGATTATTTTTTTTATTTTTTTTTTATCTGAGAAACATGGCATCTTGGATTATGAGAGTATTGATGTTGGTAATTCTACTTTTGATCCCCTTATGCATATTGTGGAGGAAACCACCCAGGGCAAAATTATCAAAATATTCCCGAGAGCGAGTTTTGTGCACCAACTCAATCTTATGTGTGGAATGTGTGTGATATGTGAGGTGGTCAAGATTGTCGCTTTCATGGTTGTGCTTATATTTCTTATCTTCCCCCAACCTCTTACTATGATGTTCTACTTTTTCTTGTGATGATAACAGGAACAAGAACCTAGGGAAGTTGACCTAAAGGAGATCAAAGATATATTAAAGTGCCATGTGGAACAATATGATGAGAAACCACAACAGATACAAAGTCAAGAGGAAACTATTCACAACTTGGAGGCCCAAGCGGATAAATTAATTGAACATTGTAAAGCGCAACAAGTTGACATTGTGGATAATAGCCAATATGAGCATGAATTGGCTGCAGAAATTGCCATTATACTGGAAGATTTAAAAAAATACGGGGAGGAGCTAGAGGAGAAGGCCAGAGTAGAACACCAACAATCAATCGAACTAGATTTTGAGGATGCCGATGTCGTAGAAGAGATACTACAGTCAACCAAGTATATTGAGGATACATATTTAGTTGACTCTAGTGTCGTTGATACTGAGGATGTTGACAATCCCAATGTTCATGTAGTAGAGCGCATTGGTCCACACTCCAAGCATTTTTCCACATTGTTTTTGGATGATGATATAGAAATAGAGTCATCCGAGCCACTTGAGGAGTCAAGGGATGAGGAACAAGGTGCTTATATTCTAGAATTCTTCTTGCCAGAAAGACGGGATTACACACCTCATCTAAAGGCCACGAAGTGCAGAATACTACATTATTTTATTGGTCCAGTTAGATTCGTTCCACCGCCCCAGGAGCATGATCATAGAGCAGAATCAAAACTTGGGGTCCAATTCATAAGTTCAAAGTGGAGGCAAAAAGTGAATCGCGTCGTGCCGCGACGTTAAATCAAGCGCTTGTTGGGAGGCAACCCAGCTTTACTGCTTTCTTTTATTTTTATTTTTATTTTTTTAATTGTATTATTTTTGTAGTGTCGATTTTTTTTTTCTAGGAGCATGGAAAGCAAAGCTATTGGAAGGGTGCAACAGCAAATCAGATGGTTGGAACTAAGTGTGAGGTACCCGCACAAAGGACCAAGCCTGGGAGAAGTCTGAGTACCCCATGAGCTGCTAGTGCTTCAGCCTTTGGCCTACCAGGGAGTTTCTTTTACCTTCTTATTAGTTATGGTGTGCATTGGGGACAATGCACAATTTTACGTGTGGGGTGAGGAGATTGTCTGGGTGACTTTCTATGCTATTTTACCTGTGTTAGTTTAATTGAACAATGTTTTTTTAGAAAAAAAAATTATTGGACTTTTCCCGACGATGGATATCCTAGACAATTTTCTTAAGGGACTTAAGTCTAAAGAAAAAGGACAAAAATATTTTCTTTTTAGGTAGTGTAACAATTCCCCTTTGGTTTTTCTTTGTGTCGCAGTTCTTTTCCAAGGGTTTTGTTTGAACCGGGTGTAGTTAGTTTTATTTTTTTAGGAGTAGGATCTAGTGTAAGATGAATTGAATTGAAGCAATATCTCTTGACTTTGTTATGCCTTGAGAATAGCGAGTATTTTGGTTGTGACGCTTAGGCTCAGTTTTGACTCTTGTAGAAGTACCTTAAATTGTATGACCTTAACTTTGTTTAACTGCTTTGACTAGAATGTCTTGATGAGTCCAATCCTGAGTGAGTTATGTGCCATGTGTGTGTAAGGTTTTGTGTTATTCTATGCATTGCATTTGATGTCTAGAACTTGCCCCGTGTATTTGCACGGCGAAATAGTAAATTTTGTTCAGTCTTGGAAGTGATATTGGCATTTTTTTGTTGAGCCATATGTATATTTTACCCGCCTAATTGTTATGTATTGTAGTTAACCCATTTGAGCCTGTAATTTTGTTTCTTTGGCAACCACATTACAAGCCTTATCCATTTGTTTGAATTAACCATCTTTTTGAACCTTTTAACCTCACATGAGCACTTGAGTTGTTGTGAACTTTGTAAAAGTTAAAGTGTGGGGTGGTTGGTTTGGCTTTTGAGTGGAACTAATGAGATAAGGAGAAAGGTGCATTTATTTTGAAAAAGTAAGAGCCACTTGAATTGGAAAAGAACAAGAAAAGAAAGAAAAAAATAGTTGTATTGTTGCGAAAAATATTCCTTGATAAGTGGTGGTTCTTGATTAGTTGTACTTAAAGAAGTATGGTGTAATATCCATTGATGTGAAGGTGGAGTTATGGTTTGACATAAATATGGGCTTGAATGTTAAAGTATATGTATTAAAGTGCTTTGGAAGGTATAGTCACTCTTATATCTAAATGTATCTTACCCGGCCCGAAGCCTACATTACAACCAAATAAAGTCCTACTTGATTCTAGAATGAATGAGCTCAATTAGTAGAGTAGTACACTACGGGCAAGCCTATGGTGCATCATTTGTGGCATATGAATGTTATTTCTGAGAGGAAGTGAATTCTTTCTATCTTGAGTTCCTAATTGTTCTTAAATTTTATTGTGTGTGTGGAACTACTCTCTTTTGTATTGTGAGGGCACTTGATTCATGAAGGAAAGGTAATGTCATTGAACTCCCTGTTAGAGTAAGTGAGTGATTTGTGAATAATGCATGGTACTTGCGAGTCAAATCTTGAGGCGAAGATATCACACCTTTGTGCTTAGTCTATTTTAAAGATTCTTGGTGTGATGGGTTAGGAGAATTGTTTAAAAAGGTCGTGTCTATATAAAGTGTAGTTTGATTGCTCGAGGACGATCAATGGTTTAAGTGTGGGGTGTTGATGATAGGCTATAATTGCGTATTTTAGTCGCTTATTACACTC